GGTAGAAAACACCTTAGGAAAGTATTTCCTGAAAAATTACACATTATGTGGAGAACATACAAACTCCATGCAGAGAAATTCGGGTGCCCCCACCGGGACTCGAACTGGCAACCTTCATGCTGCGAGGCAACAGTGCTACCAACTGCGCCACCTTGCAGCCCTATTAGTAAAGTATTTCCTGCAAAAGTTTTCCTACGTTTTGATGTAAAAATGAATGTCTGTGGCATAAAAATTGTGGCCAGGGCGACAAGTTAAAAAAAGATTTACTGTGTGATTTTTTTCTGAGCTCTCACTCTAGTGATGTCATCACTCACTCTAAAGGACCACATACACACCCATTGTAAAGGCTGAAAAGGGGTGAAAAACTTTCAAAACTTGAGAGGTTGTCACGATTGAAGATATGAAAAAAGAAACACTTTGAAATAGGGGAAGGCCGCGTCAACATTTTAAAGTTGAAATGGAGTCTCTAGGTGAAAGTATGCCTGAGCAGTGGAGGTTTGAAATATAGTGTAATTTTGTGATTTTCTCGGGAGATTTTTCCGACGTTTTTGCAAACTGTGTCGCGAAAAATGCGATTTTTGTAAATCTGTATGTAAGCACACTTGTCCCGATCGAGCCGCACGTTTTGATGTACAATTTGTGTGGGTGCTCTCAAATCTGTGGGAGGAGTAGCCGACCGAAAATTTGTACGGAAGAGGAATAATAAGAGGAAGATGCGCACCAGGATAACAATTGTGGCCTCTGTACAAGTAGGGCCTCGAGCTCAGCCCGTGCCACTAATAATATGCAAATATTCCAAAACAAAAAACCCCAAATAACCTATAAAACCAAATATTCTGTACATGTAACTGATAGATGACACAGGAAGTTGTATTCATAGCCAGATGGAAGCTGATCAACCTGATCAACTTACAATAAAAACTGTTTTAGTGACTCTGTTATTTTGATGATTAGCAATGTTACAGTCTATATGCAGTTATAGGAAGCATCCAAACACAAGAGAAGGTATCAGGAGACATATCTTTTTATATAGACATTTATTTTAAGAAAATACTGACAGATACTACTAAGAACTATGTACATTGTGTTTATTACAGCTGAGAGGCAGCAGGCAGCTCTGCAGGTGATGCTCACTCTCACTTCTTGGACAACTTGGCTTGTTTGTTTTTGGGAGGCGCCCACTTCAAGCACATGGTGTCCACTGTGACGAGACAAGAGAGAAAACACGACGTGTCATCAGCTGTTCAAACAACCAAGCAGGACGGCATCATGTTTGTTAGAAGACGAACCTCATGAGAAGAAACACAGTAAGTAGACAATCTGCAGCGACATTTTAACAAGATCTAAAGAGAGTCTGAAGGGTTTGCTACAGCTTGTTTAAATGTGAATCATGATCTCAATACTGATCAAATTGATCATGATTAGCATTTTGTCCATACTTGTGCAGCCCTACTAAAGTCAAATCTCTCTCTGACGTAGTGACGTTTGGACAAAAACGTCTGTGGATGGATCAGGCAGGTAGTCAGTGCTTCCTACCTGTGATGGGTGGTTTCTTGTACTGGGCGCTCTTCAGGTGCTCCTCCACCAGTTTGGGCGTCACACAGATGACGTGTTGACCTTTCCAGTATTTCACCATGTTGAGAGACTGCAGCGTGCTGATGATGTCACTCTGCGTGATGCTGGTCATTTGACTGGAGAAATAAGGGGTCAAAAATCAGAGATGTCAGCAGGGACGCTTTTTTTAAAAAAAATCTTTGAGTAAAATCACCATTTGCCTTGTCCTGGGTTCTGATGTTGTTCCACTGTCTTCCACACAAATCTCTAAATCTTACATTTCCTAACTCCCACATTTCTTGTCCAGAAGTGAACCAAACTTCAGGCGAACATGTAGAAGGTTTTCTTGTATTGTGCACTGTGTATTTAATGAAACTTAAGGGTACTTTCGGTAATTACAAAACAACAGTAGCGCCTATAAACTTCTAATGTCAAATATTTGCAGCTTCAAAGTTGACAAGGTTTTGTACAATTTAATGGTAATTTGGTTAATGAGCAGCTTGTTTCATATGTAGACCAACTCCAGGAAAGGCTGCAGAAATGAGTTGAGGTTGTGCAAAGTGTGTCGCCTCCTTAAATCTGATGCTTCCCAACATGTTAGACAAGCACACAGTCGTCGTGATAAAAGCTCAGGGGATTCTGGTATTTGTGTGTCTACCTGAGATCTTTGATGGACAGCGTTCCTCTGAAGTCTCTCAGAATCTCTAGTAGAACCCAGGACCAGTAACTTCTGTAGCTCAGCTTCCCCAGATCAGACAGAGGCTTCTCTGGAGAACCGACTGTACTCTCTAACTTGGACAGCTCGTAACCTGCACACAGCAGCAACACACACATTTACATTAAGATCAGTTCATCTGAAGACTAGTTTCTCAGTCCATCAGTTGTTTGTTTACAAAATGTAAAGATGTCCACGCAAACTTCCTACTTCCACGTGTTGTAATTTGTTCGTCTATCAGTCCATGAATAAAAACTGTTTCATCATCTACAAGGTATGACAGAAAATCTGCAAATTCTCACATTTAAAACACTAAAATCACCAAAAGTTTGGAAAAAATGACTGAAACAATGGATGAAATATCAAATTAGTTGCAGACTTCTAATCACTGCGGCTCCAGATTTTACCAAAAAAGTGAAATACTGATTAATTTGTGTCCTACTATGATCTGCAACAGCCAAACTCACACAGTAGTTTGCTTGAGAAACATTTATGCAAAAATTGTGTGTGCCAAGAAGCACATTTCTCACAGGGACTGACTAAAAAAACAATTAATATTTTTAATTGGCGGTTATTTGGTGAGTGATCAGCTAAAAGGAAAAACATCTGCTGATTAAACCCTTTAAAACGTGAACATTACGTTGCTTTTCTTGGACTTGTTATAGGGCTGCAAGTAACGGCTGTTTCCATTGGAAGTTAATCTTTTGAACATTTTCTTGATTGGTTGTTTGGTTTGTAAAATGCCGATCAGTGTTTCATAAATCCCAAAATGACAAACGTCTTGTTTTGTTCCAAGATATTTAGTTTACTGTCATAGAGGAGAAAAGAAACCATAAATACTCACACTTAAGAAGCTGCAACCAGAGAATTTAAACAGTTTTTCTTTTAAAAAACACTCATATGGATTATCAGGAGAGTTGGCGATTAATTTAATAGTTGAAAGCCAATTAAAAAGTCATTGCAGCGCTGATTTCTTACAATGTCAAAATAGAGAATACTTTATGATACCGACATTAAATACAATGACAAAACTGCAGCCTTCTGGATTTCATTTATCATTTTAAAGCTTTTACAAGCTAATAATAAACACACACATCACAGCTGCTGTTTCATTCTCTTACTCACTGAAGGCTATGAGGAACTTTCCGTAGCCTCTGCGTTGGTAAGGAGGCAATGTGAGAATACAGGCCACATTATTCCCATCTGGAGACTCTTTCTCCTGCAAAACAGATTACAGTTTAATGTTGGCGGCACCTCCTTATTGTATCATTTAAATTCACTTTTTAAGCCAAAGCGCACAAAAACAACTGAACTGCCTCTGCACGTCCAATGTTAACATAAAGGACAACATGAAAGCCAGTGTGGACGCAGCCTTACTTTGGAGAAGTAGCCGACGATGTGCGCTCCCTGTTTGTTGACTTCAGTGAGGATGTAGAAGATGAAGGGCTCCACGTCAAAATAGAGCGTCTTGTGGTCCAGAAACAGCTTCGCTAGTAGACAAAGATTCTGACAGTAGATCTGCAAACACAAAACCAAACGTCTGCCATCACGACTTCACCAATAACCCTCATAAAACTACCTGAATCCATATTGTTGAGCAGTAAATGCTCAGGTGTGTTCACCTTGTGGTCTCGTCCGTCAACTTCATACACTGATATGTTGCTCCTCCTGTAGATCTCTTTGCCTGGAGGCTGTTTCCACTGGCAGTGTGACTGAGGAGAAATAAATGAGAAACTGGTGGTGAGTGGAACCTGTTGATGGCTGACTGGGAAAATCTCCATGTGTTCATGAATGAGAGGAATCCCAGTTGTGGGGCTGTAACTCACGACTTGTCTAAAGTGACTCAGAATTTGTCCAAAATGACCCAAAGGTTGTACAAAATGGCTAAAAAGTTTTTCCAAAATGAATTGAAATTTGTCCAACACAAGCAATAACTATCCACAATGACTCCAACTACAATTAATATATCTGCAACTTTCACAGACATCCTACAAATAAACTGGAATGACTATTTTTTTTGACTCCAACCACTAGAAGAAATATTTCCTCTGATCTAGTCATTTCACAAGTTATAATCAGTCTTTGACTCAAACAAAAACAGCACAAGATCAGCTATTGGTAAACTTCTGTTACGACTTTAAGAAAAACTGACCAGGTGATGCCTGAACGTCTTCTCGTACTTCATGTATTTGAGGCAGTACTCGCAGATCCACAGTTTAGGCTGTTTGCCGTAGTCCTCAGGAAATGGCGAGAAGTACCAGGCGTCGATCTCAAAGTTTCCTATCTGGATCTTATCCACATATTTCACTTTGGTGATCTGAGGGAGAGAAACCATTTAAAGCTTATTTAACCAGACAGTTCAGGTTAAACTGAGGGTGGCAACTACACAGCAAAAAGTGGTTATAATTACACACCGCCTCATGCTCCTTCTCTAGTGCTGCTGTTGTTGGGTCCATCTCTGCATACGTCTACAAAGGAAACCTTTATTAGATAAATAAAATAAATAAAAGTGTTACAACAAACAGCACCAACATAAACAGCATCTCTACCTTCTGCACATGGTTGATCTCGTCATGTTTGCGCTTCTGGTTGCGAGTGATCTTCCTTTCAGGCTGGTCACCTAAATCGCCAACACCTCCGATTTCTGTGCTCTTTCTTACAGCATCCTTCACTGTCTTGGTAAGAGCCAGACGGGCTTTACCCACCCACTCATCTAAACGCCTGTTAACTGCATGAACAAACATATTAGATGAGGATCATTAGGTGAGGGGATAAGCAAATATATATGATATAAGAGGATGCACAGTGAGGTTGAAGCAGGGATAACAGAATACATCAAATGTAAGCATATGAATTTAACTGATTTAGGAGGATATAAAAACAGTTAATTCTGTACTTACATCCTACATAGTGGACATAAAACTCCTCTCTGCCCTCCTGTTCATTCAGCCGGGACTGAATAACTTCTGCTGTGTCTGAAAAAAAGAGAAAGATCCATCAGTTCATGCGAGAGAACCTTCGCACCAAACTCCATTCAAATTTGTAAGACTTTACCGCGTGACAGCTTATTACTCCACATATTTTGGAGGTTTTTTCCTGTTCATAAATTGATAGTGAGTGTGTGTTAAAGTACTATTTAATTCGGCAAAGACATAATAATGCAAACTGTAAAGTTAGTATAAGATATCAAGGAAATATCAACTTTTTAAAGGGGTTCGTTGGTTGTTTACATCATAGCGGTTTCATCATCTATGCCGAACTTTCTAGAAAGCCTTAATAATCTTTAGCAAACCAAAAAAGCCGAATTATGTCTGAAAACTAATTATGTACAAAACCGAATTAATTGATGTTTTTAATGGACACAGGTGTAAATTTCACCCCAAAACAAAGAACCATGCTACCACCGCAGCTAACGTGCTAGTGAATCCAGGGTGACAAGCCAGAGCAGCGGCTCCACTCACGCCATGTCTTGTCGGCTCTTTGACACAAATACGTCTCTCCAATTTCCACGGACACCTCCTGCTCCCTGCCGCCGAGCACCCCTCCTCCGTCCGGCGTGTGCTGGCTACTGGAGCCCCCGGCTTCTCTCGGACGGCCGAGGGCCTCCGCCTCGTCCTCTTCCCCGCCACTGCCGTTTGAGGAGCACGCAGCCGGGATGCTACTATCCAGCTCCCCGCGCTCATTTTCAATATGACTCGAATCCATGTCCACGTCCATTGTTGGTCCACAGTGTTTGTTGTTGTTATAGTTCTTATGAAACTCGGTCCCGCCAGTCATAACCTCCACCGTTTCAAAAAAACAACCACACGCCTCTGCGACTCTGCGCAGATTACCGAGAGGGGCCGAACCTCGACGTAAAAAAATGGCCAAGATGGCGTCGGTAGGACGTCGGTTCCGCCTCTTTCAACGTACAACTACATCTCCCATGAGTCCTCTCGCCACGTTGTTTAATATCTTTTTCTTTCGTGATTTTCTTTCTTGTATTTTAATACAAGTCAGGAGTAATAATAATAATAATAATAATTATAGGCTGATCCTTCCACCTTCTGCACTTTAAGTACGTTTTTTTTTGTCGTGTCAGAATACACCAACTAAAACAATAACAGCTTATAACCTAACTTCAATATTAAAATAATTATAAATAATAAAGGTATAGAACTATATCTTTTCTAACATAATAATGGTCTAGAACTTTGCTTTATTAAAATAACAGTGCAGAGTTAAATTTAAGTAATAAATTAATATTAATAGTGGTCAAAAACTATACTTCAATAGTAAGGTAATTAATAATAATTAATAATGGTTATGAACTACATTTAATGAACTAATTATTCATGGTTTAGAATTATGTGTAAATAAGTAGCTCATAATGTTGTATATCTACATTTTACAACAGTTTAGAAAAACCTTTTTATAAATATTAAAAATAATACAGTTTCAATTGACATCTGTAATTTAATAATATAAATAATACATATAAATATAGTTTAAAACTATATTTTAGTAACATAATAAACAACAGTTTAAAACTAAAGCTTACTGATAACATAATGGCTTAGACCTGTATGTTGCTGACTCTCTCTGGCTTCAGTGTCCTGTTGGGTCATCTAACATTTCATTGCATCACTTTATAACATCTTTGCCAATAAATCAAATGTGAACATATCATGAAAGGGAGAAGCATTAAAGCTGGAAATAAAAACACACTGTGACACACATCAAATTTAATTTGCAGTTCTTTCAAGTCAAATAGCATCACAACGAAAAGCAACAACCACCTGTGTGTGGTGTTAGTGTGTGTGAAAGTGCATATCAGAGAGCAGGATAATGGCGACGTACAGGAGGAAAGGATTCTACAGTGAACGTTCTTCCTGGTGCAGGGCTTTAATCTATGCACACTGAGAATGGAGGCACACATACATTTGTTCATTGGCCCTCCTGGTGCTCTTTGTCATAGCACCTCCTCTCTGCTCCTCTCTACCACCTTCTGCTCCCTGCCGTGGCCCCGCCGAGGGCCTCCCCCTCGGCCTCTGGAGGCCCGACCGTCCCAGTGGTACCGAGCAGGTCCAGGACCAGACCGCTGAGGGCCCCTTCTCCTCCCACGGTGGCTGTGGCCACCTCCAGAGTCTGCAGCATATTTGGGGCTTTCAGTTTCCAAACTTGACCGAGTGTCTGAAGAAACATGCGGCTCGTGTTGGTGGACCATCCTCCTGTTGGACTGTTCTGGTTCTCCCTGCACCTGCTGGACGTTTTCACCCTGAGCTTTGATTGGTCCTTCAGTGCAGTCTGAGGACAGAGACAGTTTGTCCAGGTGCTCTGTGATGGGGGCGGCCCTGCCCTGATGGGGTCTGAACCTGCCTCCTCTTCTGGGCCCCCTGGCCTGGTTCTGACGCCTCGGGACCTGAATGCCTCTGCAGTGGGACAGTCCAGAACCCAACTGGTCCGATCTGAGTCCAGGTTCGTCAGAGGACATGTTAGAGGCTGTCGGGGGACCAGGAGGAACATCTGAGTCCAGGTCTCCATCTTCAGCGACAGGAGGAGTCTGTGGGAGTCGGCATGGGTCAAATTACATACAAACATAACATCATGTTTCATAATATGAAACACAACATATCTGTTACTAATCCCACTGAATGAAGCTGTGCAGTTACAGTATCACACACTGTATGCGGTGTGTTGCCATGGAAACCTACATGCATTTAGTTGGTGATGAAGAAAATGAATAAATATGTTTTTATGTTTGGTACTGATTTGCTGCAAAGTCTGCTTTACACTGCCGGTGCTGCAGCTGATTAGATAACGGATCCGTCTGTTGATATTTATCACAGAGGGCATTCAATCAGTAACATTAATTTCACGAATCTGAACAAACACTACAATGATTTCAATGTCTTCTTCATTATGGGACAGCGTCAGACCTAAACGCTGATCTCTGAACGTATAAGATGTAAAGTTCTAGAGCTCTAGTGCACAGTTGTTGCAATGACAGTTTTCCACCAGCATTGTTCTTTTTACTGATACATTTTTACATCCCTCATATCTCTCCATTATAAAAACATGTTCCTCTTTAAGTGTAGAGTTGCATGCCTCTGTTTCAGGGAGAATGAAGAAAACTTGGTTAATGAAGAAAAGTGTAGAACCCATGAGCTCTCATTAAGATTTTAGGTTTTGTTGAGCTAGCTAACGCAAAGAGAGCCTGGATAGGTCAAACTTCCTTTGCAGTATTATCCTGAGAAATCCTAAAAACCAGCTGGTCTGACACCAACAATCAGTCTAGACTCAAAATAACAGACATAAGCTTTTTTCCACATCTTCTGCTGAACTATTGTCACTTGAGAAGTCGTTGGATAATTGCATTATGCTTGATGAGTGCGGTTAACAGATCTCTTTAGTGTGTTTTTAGTTATTTATACGGTTTGCAGCCTACGTGAATGCATCCATTAAATCCCAAAGTTGATTCGTACCTCGTTGATATGGATGAGAAAGCGGTTGGATTCCACCTCTGGGTCAATGATTCCACCTTTGCACCTCTGTTTCTCCAGAAGCTTCTGGAGTTCACACCACTTCTGCTGAAAGTCTGAACCCATCGCAGCCTCGTCGACCTAAGAGAGACATACGCAGAACCTGTTAATGTTTATTCATGATGCAGTAACTGTCCTTCTGCTGATAGTGAAACAGCGCATTTGACTTCACCTCGGGCAACTGAGGTGCAGGAGCCGACAGAAGCTGGTCGACGTCATACGTCAGTGGCTCTCGACACACCGGACACACCACAGTCAGCTCCTGTCAGAGGAGACACAGTGAGGATTTAGGGTTTCTCTGATGGAAGCGACTCACTATCAGTGCAGCGGCTGATATCTGACCTGATAGTCAGCTTGGTCTCTGGTCTTGTCCTCCTCCAGCTCCTTCTCCCGCTGCCGGAGCTCCCTCTCCGAGTGGCTAACGTAGCGACCGAGGCAGTGGGAGTGAAAGTAGTGGTAGCAGCTGGTCTTACTGAATGTCTCGCCCTCCTGATGAACAGAAGCAAGTAGAATTTTAGCAGATTTCTGGAAGATTTCAGGAAATAACTGCAGACAAGAAAGTGCTTAAGGCACAAGATTCGACTTCTGCAGGAAGCTGATATGACGCCCTTTATTATTCTTACTAGACAAAAACAACATTAGTCTCACTGGTTGAGTGGAGGAAAAGAAACCGAAGTTTCCAGGATAAATTTTGATCAGTCCAACATTGGTATTTGTCTAAACTGGCATAGCAACCATAAAAAGAAGCAAACAGATCACAAAAGATTCAAATACAACCACGAAGTCTTTCAAAATGACTGCAAAAAAAAACAAACAGAATAAATGCAAAATGATTACAAGGAAGAACAGCCAGAAAAGGGTGTGAGCCAACTAAAAAGAGATGTAAAATGAACACAAAACACTGCAAAACAACTACATAGAGGTGCAAAACAAACAGAAAGAGATGCAAACAGACAGCAGAGGGTGCCAGAATAATGCATTAAACAGTGGACTACTGTCATGCTATGGAAAATAACAGCAAATATCTGTACAATAACATCATTTCTAGCTGGTTTAAATAGAGTGAAAATATTGTAATTTTGCTGGTTACACATTGTAAAAGAACAAATTACTATTTGTAAAAATACAGATTTTTGATAAGGATATTATTTATAGTGTATTTTTTCGGGATTTTAGCTGTAATTTCACAAAACAGGTAAAGTCTATAAAATGACAGTAAATTTATCAAAAAATATAATTACATACATAAATAGAATAGTTTGGTTAAAACCAAAAGAACTGTTAGTAAAAGGAGGTACTCATAAAAAGGAATCAAATATATGCTCAAGTTTCTCAACAAAGTCGACACAAGTGAGGAGGAAGACTGCTGAATGTACGGAACGCTGGAAAAAAATCCAAAAATGAAACGCTTTACGAGAAAATCATGAACACAGCCTCACCTTAAAGCCATAGAGACAAATGACACAGTTTCCATGGGGAATATTGCTTTCAGTCAGGATTTCTTTCGCTTTCTGGAGGAAGAAAAAGAAATCATCAGTCCTCTGAAGCTACATATTCTCTTCTAATCATAGGAAAATAAACAGTATAAATAGTGACCTCAATGAGCTGATACAGCACCGGTGAACCCAGACAGGACTGAGCCTCCAACTGAAGACACCTTCGGACACTAAGGGAAAAGAATTGCATCAGATTACAGGATTTTACATTCAGTGATGAAGATTTTTTATTTTTTTTGGCAGAAATGAGTGATTCTGGTAAATGAGTCACTCTGTTACCTGCTGAGTTTGTCATCAGAGAGTCCGCGGGGGTTGTGGATTGAGATGGCTGGAGAAGACGAAGGATACTGAACATACAGAACAGAGAAAAGAGCAGCATAAATGCCTGTCTGTAAGTCTGATATAACGTCATATGAGAAAGTAAATACAAAATGTACAAGGGATTCTCTGTTAATCATGTAAATAACTGATTTATCACATCTTGAAATCTGTTATATTAAAATGTAGAGCAGAAGTGTTCAAGTGAACGAGAGAGCCGACAGAGAAGAAATGGAGGTTGATGGAAAATCCCAGTTTTGAATCTTAATTAAATACTGTGGGGGGTTTGAATAAGGTAGTACATGTAGGACAAAAACCTCAAACTTCTTACAGCTGATGGAATTTTGCAGGAAAAATATCAGAAAACTTGTCAGAGATGATGGAAAATAATGCAAAACATCTACAGGAAGCCATTTCTGCTGAAGAAGGTAATACTGGCTTCTCAGGATGAGGCTGCAATTACTTTTTCCACATAAGACCATTACATTTAATGATATTTTTATTGAACTGTGGTGCTGTAACTATGTTACCTTTATCTGTAGGCACTCTATCAAAGAAGCTCAAACATTTGCTTGAGCAAATATGTTTACAAAGTCAACAATTTCCATCAATATGACTGTGACTGAGCTCCACTGTTGTCAGTTAAAAGCAGAAACTAAGCCACAGTGTTGCATCAGGTGACAACATCTTTGCTCTTTTAAAGATTTACATCTTCAGCAGGAACTAGTGGATGATTTTGAGCTTATGTAAATTAAAATCATAGACTTTTTTTCTTCACATTACATGACTGATACACCCTAACTGTGAATGTTGACATGAAACCTGTTTCAAAAAGCCAGAACTATCTCATATTTTACAGCGTCTGTGCAGGCTGAGATAATGGAGACGCACCTGCTGATCGAGGGTCAAAGTCAGAGTGAGTCTGACGAACTGGGAGACAGAATCCTCGGCTGTGGAAGGATACAGAACCAGGCTCACCTCCCAGCCTCTGCAGCAACAACACAACAGCAATGTGTCCATGTGAATAAGCATAAATATGTATATTATTATTGTCTGGACTGTGCAGCTTCCATAAGTTAAATTAGGTCATAATGGATGTGATAAAAGTCAGCATACAAGGATTTTGGCTTCGGCTGACACCTTTTTGGTTGTATTATATGTTTCATCATGTGTACATACAGTGTAAACTGTATATTTACTATATGTATGTGTGTTAACAGCTATGTTCTGTATTGTTGTCTTATTGTTTTAAAACTTATAAATCAAAATCAATGACTTAAGATGAATTAGAGAGGAAATCTTCACTCATTGTTCCATCAGTGCTCATACTAATCAATAAAGTCGATGTATGGAAAAAAAAGTAGAATGATGGTGCCTTTGTGAGCTTAGAAGGTCTTTTATTATTCTCTAACTGTTTTGCATGTGTTGGTCTAACTAATATAGATGAGTCATGTCTTAAGTGTTTCTACAGGAAGCCTCTAACACACCCTTTATGATTATTCAAAAAACAAGTGTCCTCAATGGTTGAGCTTAGAAGGAGAAACTAAAGTTTCAGGGATAGATTCTGAGAAGTGCATCATTAGTATTTATCCTTGTAGATTCTCTGTAATTCCTAAAAGTTTCTGTAAAAAGCAACTAGATTTCTCTTTCAGGTTCCTGAAGACGTGTAACTTCTTATCTAAAACACTTTTCAGCTCTGAGCAGTAGAAGCACTCAGATAGCCTCTTAGATAACAAGTCAAATGTCTTTAAGAACCCTAAAGAAAAGCCCAGTTTCTTTATATGGAAGTTCCTGGGATTTATCTAAACTCACACATCAACAACCATGAAAAGAAGGAAAGAGACCACAAAGAGTGGTCAAATACAACCACGCAGCGATGAAATGACAACAAGCAAACAAAACAGGACCATAAAAAGATTTAAAAAGCCAGAAAGGGTTGCAATTTGATTACAGAGACTAAAAATAATCACAGAATGATGCAACAACGACAAAAAAAAAGAGAAAGAGATGCAAATAGATCATAAAGAACCAATCAAAAGGGACACAAAATTAAAACAAATAAATTTAACATTGGTATTTATCTGCCCTGGATCTAATGTGAACTTTACGAATCAACATGAAATCAAAATACAGCAGTTTGATAAGACACAACTTGACAACAGATGAGTTTAATATCAACTAAAACAGGTCTGGAAACTGCGTTTAGATACGAGACACAAGATGGAGGATGAAGGACCTGCAAATGGTGCAAATTTCTGACAAAATTGTGCAAAATCAAATTATGCAGACAGAAATAGTGAAGGATAAACCTGTAGCTTTTGGGAGCAGTTTTCTATTTTACCCAAACATCACTGGGGGACATCTTGTGGAGACCCAAACAGAGTGTTTGTCACAAAGCTGCCTCCTCACACCTGACATACACTGCTATTAGATATCAGCAAATAATAAGAGCCAAAGCTAATGCAGCAAAATGCAGCCTTTAGCAGCTAACTCACCCGTCCTCACTGCGGCCGACCAGCAGCTCGTCCAGATAAATGGACTGAAGCACCTCGATCTCAGACTGGACACTGTGAAAAAGAAGAAGACACTAGTTATTTCGTGTTGTTGCTGCATTTCTGAGACATTTTATAACCGGCTAACGCTCACACACCACGCTAACGTTAGTCTGTTAGCTCAACGTTAGCCTCTTAGCTCTACGCTAGCTTACTAAATCAGACCTGCGACATTTGCTCATATTTTTTACGGAGAACTTTCTGGAGACCAATTCAAAAGGTGTCATGAAATTTCAGAGGATTTGTGGTCAGAATTATGAGAGACTCACTCGCACTCCGCCGCCGTCATGATGTTTCTGAGCTAACTGCTAACAGCTGCTGTTAACCGGATGTAGCGTCACCATACAGACCTTTCAAAACAATATTGGAAAATGAGGAGGATGTAGCTTCAAAACCAAATTTGGAGGACTGTCGTTTATCATTAACTCTTTTTGGGGGGGCGGATAACATGGGGGCCACTTATTTACTCCTAACGAGAGCTTTTTTTTGCACCAGACACAGGCAATAAATAAAAATAAAAATAAAAATAAGTAAATAAATAAATACATTTTGGGGATGATTAAACGTTTAAAACTAAAAACACTTGAACAGAAACTAATGTTTTGGTGAAATGAAACCCTTATAACCCAGTACTTGTTATTAAAAGTACTATTTGGGTGGAAAAACTTTTAAAGCTTTATGTATTTAGACAAAAAGTACTAATTTGACTGGGTATGACTGTTCAATGCTCTCCAGTGGCTGCAGGCGTTAACAGCAAATCTATTTTACAAGTTTTGTTGTGAAAACTGTTCTCTTATCTTTTTGCATACATGTTATTTTCCAATTAAGTGAAAAAACATGACAAATTCCATATGTAAGATAAAAACAATACCCATAATTCATTTGATAATTATATATCATCATGTCAATTATATTTCACTAATTTAAGTTTTTGTTTTAGTACGTGTTACTTATTGTTCATTTTTTTAATACAAACACACGCAAACAGTAAAACACAATGACGCCAGTGAGGCAGTAACCAGTTGTTACCAGTGGAGGCAGCAGCCAGCGTCTGAGCATAAAAACCAGTAGAAGAAGAGAACGTCCACGAAGAAGAAAAAAATAAACCCGCGATACGAAAGGAAGCGAAATGTAACGATAATTTAATTTAATAACCAAAGTCTGTTACTGATTTGAGTAATAATTACTTCTAGACTTTATTATAAACTCTCCTCAGGCATAATGTGTGTTTGTACGTGTCCGTGTGAGACGTTATAACCCGTTATAACCAGCCGAAGTTTAAATGTCGTGTTCATACAAGCGAGTTCGTCTTTTGTGAACAAACTCTGAGAAAATGGAGGAAACTGTTATGGAATCAGACTGTGTGGAAATGTCTGGACCGGGAACGCAACAGGAGGTCGCTGATGCTTGGGAAGCCGTCACTACAGCCCTGGTGAGTGGGTTTTAGCACAGGATACGATCCAGCAGCCAACAGAAGAAACCGCTGCAGCCGAACCCCATTTGGATATCATCCGATTTAATGTTTTCTTGCTTCTAGCGATGGTTTATTCTCAACAAGACATAACCGAGGGCTCTTAACTAGTCAGCAGGAGTATTCGGTTCAATTCGGCTTACATTATGTTTTGTCTGTCTTTGCTGTTCCTGTGATGTTTTTCTGTCTGTGCTGGTGTCTGTTCTGTCTCTGTTGGTTTGTGTCTATGCATTCAGACTAAATATTAATGTATACTGTGTTATTTTAGTGAAACAACAAGTTACCCATCAGTGAGCCAACTACTCAAATGACCACAAAGAGACGCAAAATCATCTAAAACGATCACAGAGCCAAAAAAAATCAACCAGTCCAAACAACCTGAAAGAGACACAAATCAATTATTAAAACAGGAAATGAACGTGAAAAAGATAAATACAGCCACAGCATGATACAAAATGACCTTGACACAACAGAATTAACACAAAAAGACCACACAGAAACCTAAAAGGACCACAAAGAGGTGCAAAACAGCCATTTTTGATCATATTTAGGTCTAGTTTGGGTCATGTATTGGTAAAATTTAGGTCATGTTTTGGTCATATTTAGATCACGATATGGTCATATTTAGGCTAAGTTTTGGTCACGTTTTGGTCACATTTTTGTCAAATATTTGTCTGCTTTTAGTCACACTTTGGTCATGTTTTGGTCCTGTTCGGGTCCTGTTTTTCTCAAATCTGGGTCCTGTTCAGATTGTGTTTAGGCCATGTTTATTTCTTGTTTAGGTCGCGTTTTGCCATGTTTTGGTCTTTCATCCATCCTTTATCTATACACCGCTTAATCCTTACTAGGGTTGCGGGGGGCTGGAGCCTATTCCAGCTGACTCAGGGTGAAGGCAGGGGACACCCTGGACAGGTCACCAGTCTATCACAGGGCTGCACTTAGAGACAGACAACCAAGCACACTCACATTCACACCTACGGACCATTTAGACACACCAGCTAACCTCAGCATGTCGTGTCATGTTTTGGTCATGTTTAGGTGTCTCCTGGCTGCTCAGGCTCGGAACAGAGCCTCTCCAACTCTCTGGCCCTGCTGTGCAGTCAGGGTCTGGGTCGGCTGCTAGGCGCCTGGCTGCTGGAGTCTCTACAGACACGTCTGTCCTATTCGGTGGTTCCTGAGTTCTGGGCTGGACTGAAGCAGCCTGAAAACGAGCTGGAGGAGAAAGACCGGGCCTTGGTTCTGCTCACCACCTTCAGGACTCTGCTGGAGTGCCTGGAACCTTTCCTGGGTGAGTAGAAAAAGAGTTGATAGATTATTTTCTCTGTTAACGTCAGTATATTTAAGACATCTCCTCCTGTCAGGTGGTTTGGAGAAGCTGGGGACGTGGCAGGATGAGGGCCGTGGGGGTCTCTGTGGTCCGGGGCCCCGGGGCCTCCAGGACCGAGCCTTCACAACCATCAGGGCCCTCCTCCTCTTCTCACCGTCCCCGGTCCTCCAGGAGCGAGTGCTGGAGTTCTACAGCAGGACCTTCACCGTGTACATGAACCAGGAGGGCGGAGACGAGGATGGTGCAGAGGCCCCAGAGGGCCCTGAAGGAGGGTCCTGCCCAGGCTGTGAGGTCCCGACACCTCAGTGCTGGTGTCAGGAGGCTCTGGGACATCTGCAGGAGCTCAGCCACATACTGTGAGTGAATCAGGAGGAGACGGTGAATGGCTCCTCATGGCTCCTCAAGGCTCCTGTTAGTTAACGATAGCTCCTGTTAATTACTGATTGCTCATGTTTGCTCCAAGCCACCAAAAGTTAATAGGTTTACCTGGGGACCTAGAAAATTTCTGAATACACTTTGAGTGTGTAAGTTCTGCTGCTTCCATTTAATATATACCTGCTGTGGATTATTGTGTTGTTTCCAGGTCCAGGCTGCAACTGCTGGAGTGGGTCAGCTCCGAGGCTGTCACCTCCATCCTCCACAAGCTCATCGAGCAGCGAATGGAGCAGCACTGCCGGGGCGAGTATGAGCGCTCCTTCCTGCTCGAGTTCCAGGAGGTGAAGCATCTTGCAACACCAGCGTCACATCTCACCTTTGATCAGCTGGTACCTTTCTGACCTGTGTGTCTCTGTGAGCAGTGGTTGGAGCTGGTGCTCGGCTGGCTGAGCAAAGTGTTTGCCAGCGAGGCAGACAGAGACGGTCCGGTCCCGGCAGCTCCTAGTGGTCCCGGTGTCCAGACCGGCCCGGCTGCCAGCTCGGTCCTGAAGCAGTGGAGATGTCACATGCATCAGTTCTTCTGCAGGATCTACGTCAACATGAGGATCGAAGAACTGTTCAGCATCATCAGAGGTTAGACAGAGCTAAAGACGTGCTTAGACAAAATCTAATGCAAGTTAAACCGTTTCAACAAAAGTAAACACAGATATATTTATAGTCTAAAGAGTTAGCTACCAGACCCTGATGCTAATGCGTAGCTAAAACCTTGTTTCCATTGTGTTTCCATGGTAACAGTCTGTAATACTCAGCGGTATAATTCCCAGAACTTTTCTTCAACCTTTTGTTGTGAACTTCCCAATGTTTCATTATCTGATAATACTTGTCTGACTTATGATTTTGCTCAATAAACACATCTGTCGTCAAAAATTCTGTAATTCTAAAGCATGTTTAGCTTTTCCTGTGTTTTCTGTCTCCTTCAGATTTCCCAGAATCCAAAGCTGCAATAGAGGATCTGAAGTTTTGTCTGGAGAGAACCAACCAGAGACAGCAGCTCCTCACTTCACTCAAATCTGCTTTTGAAAGTCGACTGCTGCATCCTGGTGAGTTTTTGTTTCTGCAGACATGAAAATGAGTTGTTTTTTTTTCCTGCCTCATATGACTAATATATGTAAAAAACAAAAGAGAGAATTAGTGTCATTCAGCACGTTGCTCTTTTAAAATGAGTTAAGTTTGTATTTACTGGGTGTATGTGTCTGCAGGTGTTCACACTTCTGACATCCTCACCGTTTACATCTCGGCCATCAAAGCCCTCAGAGAACTGGACCCATCGATGGTCATCCTGCAGGTCGCCTGCCAGCCCATCCGCAAATACCTCAGGTCAGTCCTTTAATGATTATTATTAATACAGGAGTAATTTATTATTGTGGTGACGTGGCTCCTCTCAGGTCCTGTTAGCTACAGATAGCTGCTTTTAGGTTGTGGTGGCTCATGGTAGCTAAAAATAGCTCTTTTAACCCCTGATACCTCCTGGTAACATTTATAAGAGCTATGATCTTGCTGATATGAAGTTTATTCACTGCTGGCTGATCTTTGTGCTCCAGTATTGTAAATTTCATGTTCTTAGAGCTCATTATGAACCACATATAAGGTGTATAAAAGCTCCTGTGGTGTGTTTCAGGACTCGTGAGGACACGGTGAGGCAGATCGTGGCCGGTCTAACTGGAGATGCTGAGGGCTGCACTGACTTGGCCTCTGAGCTGTCCAGAGGAGACCCGGTGACTCTGGAGATGCAGGATAGCGACGAAGAAGGCAACGACCCCGAGGACTGGACTCCGGACCCGACCGACGCCGTGCCTGGTCAGTAAACGCGTCACATCCGGGCATATGCTGCGGCTGGCTTTCACTCATGTGTTCCCTCTGGTTGTTTTTCAGATAAAATGGGCTCAAAGCGGCGCTCGTCGGACATCATCAGCCTGCTGGTCAGCATCTACGGCAGCAAGGACATCTTCATAGACGAGTACAGAGCCGTGCTGGCCGACCGCCTGCTGCACCAACTCAACTACAACACTGCCAGGTATAACTGTGGGCTCATTTTACGCTGCAATATGAAGTACTGTACCTCTGGAAACACAACAACCATGACTAGAAGTAGAGAAAACTGTCTTCTATGCAGTGTGACACAGTTAGAATGACTGAAATCATAACAAAAAGAAATAACTGAAGTTGAATTTCCCATGATCACATGATGCATTCGTGGACCATCAGAAAGTTGAAAACCAGAAGATTTGTTCCGTTTTTATAGTTTCTGGCTGATTAGTAGTGTTTTTTTTTTTGTGTGTTTTTTTTTAAAATAACAGGCCGTTCAAATCCGACTGCAGCCTTGTTTTCAGGCAATAGATTTTTAACTCTCTGAATGACTATAGTTCTCTCGAAAAACACTAGATTTTTAAAAAAATTTGATAAACAGTGTGTTTACAGTCTCAGTTTAAAGCTGAACCTTTGACTTGTATTTGTTTTATATGTATCTTCACATGCGTCCACACAGAAAGTCATATAGGGAACTGTATTGGCGTATAAATTGAGTATTTTCTGGGTTTTCTCATGTTCATATCGTCACGTTTTGTCCTGTTGTGTGTTTTCAGGGAGATTCGTAACGTGGAGCTGCTCAAGCTGCGGTTCGGCGAGTCTCACATGCATTACTGCGAGGTCATGCTGAAGGTAAAAACATATTTAGAAACAAACCAAAAATTCAGAATGAATATCAAGTCTAAAGAAAAGCAAGCAGGTAGAATAAACAGATGGAGACATTAAGCACTGAATAAAAAATATTGTAAAAAGAAGAAGGGACCGGGGTGTTTCCTGAGTCATATCTGTAAAAACAGGAAACAGAATTAGTGTCATCCTGCAAATTTAGAGCCTTCTTTTTTTCGTAAAGAGTTTCATTGTGTCTTCAGGACATGGCCGACTCTCGCAGGATCAACAGTAACATCCGCGAGGAAGAGTCGAGGCTGAGCGAGGACGAGCAGCCGCCGCTGTCGCTGTCCGCCATCATCCTGTCGTCCGAGTTCTGGCCTCCGCTGAAGGAGGAGAAGCTGGAGCTGCCGCCGGTGGTCTGCCAGGCCATGGAGGCCTATACCCACCGTTACGAGAAGCTCAAGGTGGAGTTCAACATAAATCACTCTGTTAAGGATGGTAGCAGTGGTGCTTTTACATGTTTTAGGTGTTCAAGTTTACATTTAAATGAATTTTTAGAAACTAATTTTAATTTTGTTTAGTTGATTTCCGTAATTTAGCTTCACTGCAACATGAAAATCAGCTGGCAGAAGTAGGACTGAGGTGAAACTTGTTGCAGAGAACTCAGTTTGCCTGTTGGTGCATTCAAGGACGCACTGAAGGAAAGGAAATTCTTGTACCAGATATTGCTCAGAAAAAAATTAGAACAAGTTAGATATTTTTTCTTAATTTTTTTCATTTTATGATTTTGGATTTTAAATGTAATTTGTTATTTCTTTTTTTATTATTTCAGTCAACACATTTTTGCCTCTTATTTGGTTGCATCCAGAAATACAGCTTCAGTTTTCAGTTTTCTGTGTCTGGTTTCAGGCCATGAGGACGCTGAGCTGGAAGCCTCATCTGGGCTCCGTCACTCTGGACGTGGAGCTGGAGGACCGAACGCTGACCCACCTGACTGTGTCCCCGATCCACGCCGCCATCATCCTGCACTTCCAGGACAAAAGTACGAGCTTTGGTTTATTTTCCATCACAGGAGACAAAAACAACTGGAAACAGATCTAATATCTGCTCCAGAATGTAGCTCCACCGTGTAGCTCTTTCACAAGACGATTCTTACTGTTGTTTTTTTTTTTTTTTCCAGTTTCTGGCTGATGAATGGCATCATTTTAGTGATATCAGCAGATGATCAGGGTTATTTCTGTTTCAGGCTGCTGGACTCTGGAGGAGCTCAGCCTGAAGCTCGGAGCCCCAAAGGAGCTTCTGCACAGGAAGTTGGCGCTGTGGCAGCAACACGGCGTCCTGAGGGAGGAGGCCGGTGGACGCTACTACGTGGTGGAGACGGGATCGTCCAAAGAGAAGCTGGAGAGAGGAGTGATGCTGATCGACAGCGACGAGGAGAGAGACTCCAACACTACCACCCAGTCCGAGCAGAGGGAGGAGAAGCTACAGGTACAGCCAGGAAAACACAGAAATGTAGACTTACAAAGGCCTTAAGTAGGATTTCTCACCTGCTGTTGCACTTATGTTGGTTCTAAAATGTAAAGTGAAAAAAAAGCACATTTAAGACCTTAGTAAGTTAAATTTTAGACTAAATTAAGAATTGTCAGGCCTAAAATAACCTGCTGATTATTTACAGTTCTCAGTGATGCAGCTATTTTCAGTTGATATTTAGAAGCTAGAATCTGAAAATGGGTATTTTTTAAATTATTATTTTGAACTGGAAAATAACTGAACAGCTTAACTGACTATTAAAATATTTGACAGGTAAAATTTAAAGATTTAAAAACAGCAAATGACATGTTTTCTTTCATCTGCAGTACAAAAATCACTGAAATATTTCATTTACTCCAAAGTGAGACAAAAAAACAACAACAAGAGATTGTCACATATGAAAAGCTGGAACTACACGTTTTGCAAATTTACATAAAAATTAATTTAATTGATTATTAAAATAGCTGCAGCTGATTATCAGAGCTCAGCTAATCAGATCAAACTGTTAAAAACTGACAATACAATCAATAATACATTAATTTATTGAAAAATAATTAATTTTTTAACTTAATAAATGCACCTGATAAATATGCTTTTAGTTCAGCTGGTTCTTGTTGATGATTTTCACATTTAGATAATCGTGAAATAGGATTTAATCTGAACTTTAAAAGCAGGTCTGAACCTTTAAATTGTCCTTTAAAGGAGCCAAAATAATAAATAAAGTCTGCTCACCTGCACAAACATCCAGTAATCACCTGGTTCTGGTTCTGCAGCTGTTCTGGGCCTACATCCAGGCGATGCTCACCAACCTGGACAGCATGACGCTGGACCGCATCCACTCGATGCTGCGGATGTTCGTCGCCACGGGACCCGTCGTCACGGAGATGGACGTCAACGAGCTGGAGGCCTTTCTGCAGAAGAAGGTCCGCGAGCATCAGCTGATGGTGTCGGCCGGCGTCTACAGACTCCCCAAGTCCAACTGATGGTGTCACGCTGCATTCAAGCACACTGGGAAAGATGAATTTGACTCTATAAACACCTGAGAAAATATCGGCCCCTGAAGAGAGGAATCGATGAATACAGCGAGTTTTTCTGTGACGGGTTTGTTTCAGGACATTGAAGCTGGACGTTGAAAAAGTTCACGTGTTGATTCATTCTAATTATAAAAAGTTTTTTTGATTTCTCTTGTGGGTTTGTGTGAACTGTTTCAACCAGAGACGCAACATTTTTACACACAGCTTCACATTTTCAGGCAGCTTGAAAAAGCAACCAGAAGAAATTGTGGGATTTTCACATTTCCAACACTCCATGAACTACTCATCTGTGAGGCACCACTTTGTTGGGACATTTAACCAGATTTAAATTTAATAACAGATTCTGTAAAAAAAAAAAAATCCTGACAGGATTTCAGGAAATGTTTAACTTTTACCAGGACCTTTATTTCGCTCTCTGTGAGTTTAAGGGGTGAAATCACAAATGAGACAAAAATCTAAGTTTCACAAGTTTCTATTTACTACTCAGTTGCTACTTTAACTGTGATTTTCAGGTGTCTGTAGTCCTGGAAAAGATTTTCAAAACTTTCGACCGGTTTGCACCAAGAAAAACGATGATTAGAAAAAAATAGTTTGATTCAGAGTTCAATGAAACTCAGTTTAAAATTATTTTAAATGAAGCAGGACTGTGTTGCACAATGAAAAAGTAAATTCAGGTTTATTGATGTAAAATAAATTTAATTTAAAAAGTAAGGAGGTATTTATTTACCCAAATTAAGATCAAAATAAATTATTAAAGAAAGAAAACAATTCATTTTTGTGTTGTCAAGACCTTGTAGGTATTAAAGAGGTGCACAAACGTAACCTCTGCTTAGCATCTCTTAACTTGTGGCAGGATTTATGGATCAACACACCCCCAAACTTATTTTCAAGTTTGAGGCAACTTAATTTAAAGTTAAACCAGGATTTAATCAGGTTTAACAATTAAAACTCATTAGTGCAACTCGGTCTTAGCATTTATAATACTTTCCATTTTTAAAACAAAAAAACTACTAAACAACCTTATTAAACATTCCTGCATTTGATTTTTAGCAACTATATAAATGTCATATAACAATAATCTTCTCGTACTGTTGTATTTTTTGTAGATTTAATGACTAAAAAAGTCTCTAAGTAATAAAATACTGAGAAAAAACAGGCACAGAGGTGATTTTTCTGTGCTTAAAACTGACATTAAAACACATTTTGATGCTATTTATCCTTCAGTATCTGAATCTTTCTCCATCACTGCTGTTATTTAATTTCCAAATAATCACAAGGAAGCTAGAAGAAAGTTTAAGATTTTTAAATATAGTTTGTGTATTTTTCAGTTGCAGCTGCAGAGAATCAGCAGCTCTTAAAGCTGAACTAGTTTTAAACTCACATACAGAAAATACTACTGAAAACTACACAATTAGAAAAGTCGTCTGGAGGACTAAATTCACTGTATTTCAGAATAAAGGTCAAATTTAATAGCAAAATATTGGTTTTAATTTAATCAACAGAAGCAGCTTCAACTTTATTCTTTATTTTACATTAATTATGGTTGACAATCACTGGCTTTATTGCTTTATTTAGATTCAGACACATTTCAGTTTACATTAAAACACATTAAAACACTTTGGACTGTACGGTGGAGTTTAACTCTTCACTCCTGTTAGGTTTTAGTATCGTCAGTTCCCTTTCAGAGTTAAATACGTGTTCTGGATTAAGACAAACATGAGCAGAAAACAGCAGGAGTTAAAGGTACAGGAACATTCAGGTGTTTTTGCACTAAAATATGAAACATCACTGTTGTAACCCACATGTCAGGCAACGCCAGCGATTATTCTGTGCATTTTTAGCATTTTTATGCTTTTATTTTGTAGCGGCACAGGAAAGAGAGCTCGATTTTCAGGTTTTCCCAAGTTTAGCGATTTAAACAGATTTTAACAAAACACATACGACTTAAATTCCCTTTAGTTTGATTATTAGGCAGCTGTCGAGTTGAAACTGAAATCTGGTTGCTAATTTTTTCTGCTGCACAAAGAAAAGTCAAGTATTCATCCTCTGGGGAGCATAAAAGCAAAACCTAAAATAATTAAGAATATGAAACAGAATTTTTCGGATCACTGGTACATTTTTAAGGTGTTTCTGAAAGAAAAACTCAAACCAAATATTCTACAAACGCCCTCAAACGTCACATTTTCTGAAATTTTCCTCTGACGAATATGAACATTGGTTTGGGAGAAAACACTCAGACAGTAAAGCCCATGTGTAAAGCTGCACGACTAATCGCTTAGTTGTCGATCATTAAATTTATCCTCAACTATTCAGACAATCAATCAGTTTAAGTTATTTATAGATTAAAACATTCTAAATTCAGTGGCTGCTGCTTCTAAAATGTGAACATTTAATCGTTTCTTTCCTCCTCTGTGACACTAAACTCAATATCTTTGGAATTCTCTGGCTTTGAGAAACATTGATGGACATTTTTCAACATTTTCTGACTTTTAAAGACCAAATAATTGATAAATCCAGACAGTAATCAACAGTGGGAACAATCAGCTGCAGCCTAAATGTGAGGATTTTTTTTTTTTTTACACATCTGCAGCTGTTCTGCCTCCCGACACTGAACTGAAATTATTTAAAGGTGCCATGCTTCAATATCAGATGCGTTACTGATGCATCCAGGAATAAAGAAGCTTCAGTCGATCTAATCAGACTCCGCAGAAGTCGGTGAGTCATTTAGTTTTCAGAGATGCAGATTTGTGCCTGACAGACACAGATGAGGGTTTACAAACTCCTCCTATAATTACAAAACTCACATCTCAGGTTACTGAGAGAAAAAACAAAGTATTATAGAAACAATCCCTTTATGTGAGTGTCTGCAGGCTCCAGGATTTACTTTGTGCCCACGTAACTGTAAACTGAATATTCCGGGTTACACTCATCTGAGGACGTCAGCAAGAGATTCAACAAGTTTTCTGAATAATTAATCACAAAAGTAATCTGCAGATGTCTCAGTTCTAGCACAAGAACCACCACAGAGATAATTTAGCCATTTTTCAGCAGATGACAAGGACAAAGTGCAGAGCTGAGAGGTCACTGAAATCAGAATAATTATTCCCAAATGCAACCAGTAGATTTCGTAGGAATCAAAAATGATGCTGGCACGAAAACAAGAAGTTAGATGTTTTAGAGATTGTTCGCCTTCATGCAAGAAGCAGGAACATCCACAAGCAAACAGGCTGATATTTCCTTTGATATTTCCAACTTGAGACAAAATCAATATCTTGTTCACCAAAATCACCAGAATGGCTGCAAATTTACTGAGGAAGCAGAAAAAATTGAGAGTGACAGGGTTTTTGTTCAGGTTTCCGTCATCTTATATGACTTTGAACGCTGCTAAATTGTGCGGAATTCATATTTTAACCCTCAAAACTTCCCCACAATCGACGCGGATAAAGACTAGAGATTCACATCACGTTTGTGCAGTGAGGAGTTGATGAGAACATTGATATCCAGCCTCCATCTTCCACAACCAGCAGAACAAACACCTTTAAACATGTGAAAAAACACCAGAATGATCCTTTAACTCCCAGCTGCTTCATGCTTCAGTGCTGCAGACTGAAACTCCCTCACTTTAGGTTTTGCAGTAAATGAAGAATCGCTCCGAAGGCTTCGATCTGATCCGGATGCAGTTCATGTTTTTGGGTCGGTGGATGGGCGGCGCCTCAGCAGCACTTCTTCCCTCTCTTCCTGCGGTCTCGGTCTCTCTGGGCGTTGATGTTCACCGTGTCCTTCTCCCTCTCTCGTTCCCTCTCGGCTCGGTTCTGGCTCTGCTTCTTGGCCCGGAGAACCATGTGGGTGAAGGCCATGAACATCTGAACAAAACCAAACAGACTGGTTCTTCAGGAGTTTCTCAACATGCTTTGGTCGGATATTAGGATCTTGTTGCTGCAACTTTTTCGGAGCGGATCCCTCAGATTTATCTCTAAGCAAACCCCTAAAATGCTGTTCTGCACTAAACCTGACACTGAGGTGCTGCAGCATCATGTTACTGACTTTGGTATCAGTGTGTCTGAGTTTACTTATTTAAACAGTGAGATAACGCCGCCACCATCAGGTCAAACGATGTATCACAACACTGCCTTGTAGAATTTTCATTAAGAAGAAAACTTTAGATATCACCGACCCTGCAGACGTTTCAGATAAATGTTTTTAAAAAACTGAGCCTCTCATAATTTGTTGGCATTTTGACAGCAGAATATTGTTAAAGATGAACAGTTAAATAATGAAAATAATAAATCACACAGGATTTCTAACAGTTCTGAGGGATTCACTTGGGAGTAAAATGTGAAAATGTAGAGCAATAACTATACGTGCGAAGATACACCAATAACGATAGATAATGATTGACAGCAAGACAAAAATGAGTATAAATACACCAAATACAACTTTGTGAATTCTGAAAAATAGGAATATCCTTGACTTACTTCTTCTACATTTACGTTCTCTTTGGCACTAGTCTCGAAGACGCGAACGCCCACCGACTCCCCAAAACGCACAGCGTCCTGGGTCTCCACCTGTTTCCTGGCAGGGTCGTCGTTCTTGTTTCCCACTAAAATAAGCAGCAGGACAAAACATGTTTTAACCTCTGTGCTGCAGCCCCTACTGAGGACAGCACCTGCAGTTGGTAATTAATATAAACTCAGCTCAGTATAACTACAAATATGGGAAATTCTAAGTTTGTAAGGGTTGTTTTTTGTAGAATAAAAGTATAATCCGACTATTTTCTGGTTCATTCTGAACAACATCACAGCTCATAAAGGAAAGCGTAAGTTTAACAAAACCAGAGAAATTACAAAGAAAAAGGGACCTTTTCTCAGAAGAATTCTACACAAATTTACAATTACAGTTTTTTTTGGCCAGGGAACCCCATCGCACTTACAATAGTCCTTATCCTGCAGAACAGACACAAGTGATTTTTTTCATGTAACTCACTGAAAGTAAGAGTTTCTGTTAGTAGTTTGTCTGACGTACCCAGAATCTTGCAGACGTTGTCGCAGTTCTGGGAGATTTCGTTTAACCACCTCTTTACATTTACAAAAGACTCTGGATTTGTCACGTCGTAAACAATGATGACACCGTGGGTGTTTCTGTAGTAACTGGAGATAAAGACACAGATAAAGCAGAGTAAGCTGATGGCACCACAGTTTAATGTTCAGTCCTGCAGAGAAAACGAAGTCTCAGTTTGTATGTTCTTACGTTGAGGTGATGGTTCTGAACCTCTCCTGTCCCGCCGTGTCCCAAATCTGCAGCTTCACTCGTTCTCCGTCGATGTCCACCGTCCGGATCTTAAAGTCAACGCCGATGGTGGTGATGTAGCTGCCTGCAGGACACGAATCAGAATCAGAATTACACAGAAACACACCACAAAGAGGCAAAACAGTGTATGAATGTAGGAAAAACAAACCAAAAAAATGGCAAAATATGTAGAAATATATAAATATATACAAAGTATGTCTCAAAAGTCTTTACATTTCTGCAAATATTTTTATGATATCTTTTCATGGGACAACACTGAAGAAATGACACTTTGCTGCGATGTAAAGAAGTCAGTGTACAGCTTGTATAACTGTAAATGTACTGTCCCCTCAAAATAGCTCAATACACAGCCATTAATGGAAACAAAAGTGAGTACACCCCTAAGTGAAAATGTCATACTGTACAGAAATGCAGAAATAAATAAAATAGCAAATATATTTTGGTAATGATATGGATATAATTACATTCCTTTCTAGGGTTAATTTTTGCATTTTTATAGAGCAAGTTAACTAAAATAAGAAATATAAGTAAATGTTTGAATGACATAAAGAAGAAAATAAACAGATACAGAAGTGAAAGTAGAAATACATAAAAAAATAAATAAATGTGCAGAAATATTAAAATTTCTAAATATAAATACATACATGCATCTAGAAATAAATTAAAAGAGTGAATGTAGAAGAAAACACACACGTAAATAAATAAATAAATGAAATACGATAAAAAAACTAATTCGTAGAAATACAGAAATAGCCAATATAAAAGCCAAATGTACAGAAATGTAAAAATAAATTCATCATTTAATTATTTCCTTACTAAAATATATTTTTCATTCATTTATTTACATGTTTTGCCCTCTATAACAGGAGGGCTGTCATTTATGAATAGTACAAAGGATTTTTGTGACCAATTATCAGGATGAATGTTGAAATCTGTCCTTTAATTAATCAAACAGGTAAAACTTAAGTAAAAGACATTTAGACGAAGCTCTGTGTTGGAGTTTGTGTTTTTCTACTGTTCTGTGGGTCTTGGTCTATGAGTATGTGGAGACTTTTAGAGGAAACTCTGGATAGTTCAAACAGCTCTAATAAACCTGCAGACACTGGATTCCTCTGCCTCAGAGTAAAGTCTTGATGTGTGAATAAAGTCGTGTTAACTCACCAGAGAAGGAATTGTCTGCAAAGCGGAGCAGGAGGCTGCTTTTCCCCACATCTGAGGAGGAAACGGAGCTGATTAGAAAAATAAAAACAACTCACTTTGAATAAGACCTCAGTGGCTCATCGGCTGCCAGTAAAACGTACAGGAGGAGGAGGAGGAGGCCAGATAAGAAAAGTGAAACAAAGCGAGGAATCAGAGCAAAGGTTGAACTCACAGTAGAAATATGTGAGCGTTAGGTGTGGGATTAAAAAGACAATCTAGAGAGAACCTGCAGAACACAGCATGAAGTTATCTGCAGAAAATTGACATTACTTTACCCAGTTTGATGATAAAAGCGTAATATGAGAAAATATGTCCAAAAAAATGTAGAATTCTCGCATTTGCTTTATCACAAACTGATGCAACAAAACGTTTTGCTGTCTGACGTTCAAATTCAGACAAAAAATCTGATAAATGAATGAATGAACCATTTGATGTGTGGGCTGGTTGTGAAATCTCTGTATTTTCGTGCTATTTCTGATGTTTCACTGAACTAAAACGTCTATAATATTTGAGCAAATGAAACTCCAATTAATACAAATGTCTTCATTTTGCCCACCAACAGTCAAAATGCTCAACATTTTAGTTCACTGTTCATGAAAATAAGAAAACTAGGTAAAAGACACATTTGACAAGCTGCTACCAGAGAATTGTTTTTGCTTTTTTTGCTTAAAAAAATCATCAATATCACAAAGGTTGTCATTAGATTTTAGTACATCAACAAATCCACTCATTTAGTCGAGTGTTTGTTACGTTCTGGACTCCGTATCTGTTATTTCAGATCATTTGATGAACTAAAATGCTCATTACGCTGAATAAAAGAAAGTCCAGATGAACAAAAAACTGCTTCAGTTTGTCCAACCAACAGTCAAAATACCCCAAGTTTTGAGTTTACTGTCAGAAAAAAATAAAACTATCCAATATTCACATTTCAGAAGCTGTTAATGGAGATTTTTTTTCTGTTATTGCTTTAAAACATAATCATCCAAAAGGTTTCCATTAAATGGCAGCCTGTCTGATGAGTCAAAGCTTCAATAAGTGGGTTAATTCATTTCAATGGTTTGTTAAAACAAGACCAGACGTGACCTGCTGAGCCTGTTTGCAAATGAAGCTCTGGGAAACTTTATCAACGAAAGATTCTGAGATGATTCTGGAGGAAACGTGTCTGAATCTGTCGCCTGCATGCAACTGAATTCTTCTTGAAACCATCCACAGGTGAAGCTCGGCTGCAGCACAGCGATGAAATCTAATCGCTGAGCAAAAATAACTCGCATGAAGGTGACCTACAGTGAGTCATCAGCTTTAAATCATCCCGGTCAGGATGGATTTCTGCCTGTGAAGCTCCAGGTTACTGTAAATTATCACTGAATCAATGAATCTGTACCGAACAGAAAAGATTAGAAAACACTGTTTTTCTGTGCATGTATACCGATTACAAACCCCGGAGCTGTTGCTGTAGGTGTTGGAATATTAAATGTCACTTGATTGTAAAGTTTTGTGCCTTTAATCAATAACTTTCAATTGCAATTGCTTTGATTATCAACACATCTGAGAATTATATTATTTTAGTGTTTTAATGCCAGAAAATAGACAAATATGTCCAATGTAATGCCTCTTAAGTGCTTCAGTTTGTATGACCAACAGTTAAAATGCCAAAATTTGAGTTTGCAGTCTGAGAAAACAACAAAACTAGCTCGTATTAATGTTTGCGAAGCTGCTACTTGAGAATTTTTGCTATTTTAGCTTTAAAAAATCTATAATTCGGAAAAAGGCTGCGATTTATTTACAGTCATTCAACAAATTCACTCATTATTTAATCATTTCGGAGTGTTTGTTGGGTTCTGGATGCTGTATTTGGCACAAATCGCTGCATTTTCTTTATATTTCTGATTATTTGACGAACTGAAGTGTCTAATATACTGACTAAATGAAACTAATCAACAAAACTGGTTGAAAAATTAAATTGCTAGTTCGATTTTTGAGTCTATTTACAACATATAAGAATGTTTTTAAGTGGAAAAAAGAGGAAAGACAAGAGAGCTTTCATAACTTTTCATCCTTCACCAACCTGATAGAAATCAGAGTAAATCAGCACCTAAAGCATCTAAAGAATCCTCAGACTAACCTGTGCACAAACATTTACATACTGAGCAGCAACTTTAGCTCACTGGCTGGTTTTTAAACCTCTTCTCCTGTATAGAGTTCAGAAGTAAAGCTGAAAACTGCAAATATCAGGAGAATTGTGGATTTTGTCATAAAAGCATCAAAAATAATATTAGTCACACAAACCTTCAAAACAGGAGCATTTTTTCAAGATGGCCGCCATTTCCAATAAGTAGAACAAGATATTTTAACACGGCGTGATCTTTTAGAGCAAATCATTTGGTTTTTATATGTGCAAATTTAGCATGTACAATACAAATTTACAAATCCTAACATTACAACTTACACCTTAATAGCACGTTTTTGGTAAATCAGAAGTGTATCTCAGCACACGAGCTCATGTTCCAGAAAGATCAGTGGAGCTTTTCTTCTCTTATTTCAGTATTTACTCTTGTGGTATTCTGAGGAAAAGGACAGAACATCAGCCTGCAGAAGACGAGGGATGTCCACATGTTCTAATCTGAACCAAGTAAAATAAAAACTGTTCAGAAACAAGCATGTGTCCGAGTTCACTTCACTAATGTGAACATGTTTTTGATTTTCACCATTTTTATATGATACTTAATTTGTTAGGTGTTTTTGACTATTGGGGATGGTTGCTGGCATTTTTCAGTTTTTAGATATTTTAAACACTAAATAGTTGATCGGCGATGTGGGTAAGTAATTAAATAAAGTGCTGTTTGCTGCCTTAATGTTCAGACTTTATAATGATGATAAATTATAATGATAAATAAAGTATTTTTCATTTCATTTACCTCATTTTATGTGTTCATTAAAGCTATTTGATAACCTAAAGAATAAAGTAAAACACTAAAAGGTCTTAGACATTACCAAAAAAAAATAAAAAATACTAGTTAAATCTGACCTCCTCTGGGGATATTGGATGTTGTAAGTGTCAGGTTATGTGAGGTTGGTGGTCAAAGGCCGAAAAGTTTGGGAGACACAACCAGATTGAGCACATCATATTCCTGTGATTAATCAAATTACACATGTGGACAAAATTGTTGGTACCCCTCGGTTAATGAAAGAAAAACCCACAACGGTCACAGAAATAACTTGAATCTGACAAAAGTAAGAATAAATAAAAATTCTATGAAAACTAACCAATGACAATCAGACATTGCTTTTGAACCGTGGTTTAACAGAATTATTTTAAAAAATTAACTCATGAAACAGGCCTGGACAAAAATGATGGTACCCTTGACGTAATATTTTGTTGCACAACCTTTTGAGGCAATCACTGCAAACAAACAATTTCTGTAACCGTCAATGAGACTTGTGCACCTCTCAGCAGGTATTCTGGTCCACTCCTCATGAGCAGACTGCTCCAGTTGTCTCAGGTTTGAAGGGTGCCTCCTCCAGACGGCATGTTTCAGCTCCTTCCACTGATGTTCAATAGGATTTAGATCAGGGTCACTTCAGAATAGTCCAATGTTTTCCTCATGGGTGTTTTTATCTGTGTGTTTTGGCTCATTATCCTGTTGCAAGACCCATGACCTGCGACTGAGACCAAGCTTTCTGACACTGGGCAGCACATTTCTCTCTAGGATACCTTGATAGTCTTGAGATTTCATTGTACCCTGCACAGATTCAAGACACCCTGTACCACATGCAGCAAAGCAGCCCCAGAACATAACAGAGCCTCCTCCATGTTTCACAGTAGGGACAGTGTTCTTTTCTTGATATGCTTCATTTCTGCGTCTGTGAGCATAGAGCTGATGTGCCTTGCCAAAATGTTTCAGTTTTGTCTCGCCTGTCCATAGGACATTCTCCCAGAAGCTTGGCGGCTTGTCAACATGCAGTCTGGTAAATTCTAGTCTGGCTTTTTTATTATTTGTTTTCAACAATGATGTCCTCCTTGGTCGGCTCCCATGAAGTCCACTTTGACTGAAACAATGACAGACGGTGTGATCTGACACTGATGTACCTTGACCTTGGAGTTCACCTTTCATGTCTTTAGAGGTTGTTTTGGGCTCTTTGGGTACCATTTGTATTATCCGTCTCTTTGATTTGTCATCAATTTTCCTTCTGCGACCACATCCAGGGAGGTTGGTTACAGTCCCATGGATCTTAAATTTCTGAATAATATGTGCAACTGTAGTCACAGGAACATCAAGCTGCCTGGAGATGGTCTTATAGTCTTTACCTTTGACATGCTTGTCGATAATTTTCTTTCTAATCTCCTGAGACAACTCTCGCCTTCTCTTCCTCTGCTCCATGTTTAGTGTGGTACACACCATGTCACCAAACAGCACAGTGACTACTTGTAACCCTATAAATAGGCCAACTGACTGATTATAAGTTTGTAGACACCTGTGATGCTAATTAGAGGACACACCTTGATTGATCATGTCCCTGTGGTCACATTATTTTCAGTCTTTTCTAGGGGTGCCATCATTTTTGTCCAGGCCTGTTTCATGAGTTTATTTTTTAAAATAATTCTATTGAACCATGGTTCAAAAGCAATGTCTGAATTTCATTGTTTAAGTTTTACTGAATTTTTATTTATTATTACTTTTGTCAGATTCAAGTTATTTCTGTGACCGTTGTGGGTTTTTCTTTCATTAATCGACAATTTTGTCCACCTGTGTATGTGGTACGAATGTGTTGTTTTGCAGGCAGAAAGTGTTAAAGGATAATTCTGGTTTGTTTTGGCACATTAATGGGAAATAAAGCAGGTTGAAACAAGCCAGAATTGTCCTTTAAAGCCACTTGTATGTTCAGCCCTCCATGAACTGGATGCAGATGGATTATAAATGATGCACTAACTGGAGTCGCCGATGATCAGCAGCTTAAACAGATGATTGTAGTCTTTTCCTGCCATCTGGACGCCTCAAACTCAACTTCCAAGTAAAACCAGTTTCATAGGAGGAGGCGACGATTCCTTCTCTCCTAGCGAACATGCAGAGTTTGTGTAGTTGCTACCAGCTCAGAGCAGCACAGGAGCGTTTCTCCTGCCAGAACATTTCCAGTTGCACTTTCTGAGTTTCAGTTCAGGCGTTCACATCATCCTGGTTGGTTTCAGGGTGAAACCGCAGCAGCCGGCAGAATGTGTAGCACTTCTGGAGAGCTGTGCACTTATGATTCATGCTTGACGGCCGAGAGCGGCTGCGTGGTTCCACCTTAGTTCCAGTTCCACCCAGTGACTCTCCTGCAGGGGATTTCCAGCTCTGTTGTATCAGTGCAGCAGTAACACTCCCACAGCAAGTCCTCACATCTCCGGGTTTGGCATTTTGTTGCTGATGCACTGATCATTAATCCAGTTGTTATCAGTTATTACCCTGAACTCCATCCCAGTATTTTAAAAAAGCAGTGTCACATCTGCAGAGGTCCCTTTGAGTTCGATCCCTTTAGTTCCTCTGGTTCCCAGTTTCATCCCAGGAGGGCTTCAGCCTGCAAGGTGCTGAACAAAGACAGGGAGGGAAGGTAATAAGAGGTTAGAGCAAATCATTTTTGATTGCTGTGTGCAGCCTTTCCCCTCCTTACCTCCCGCCTGCTCCTCAAACAACAGCTGAGTCACTAAATATAACTTCCTCATCCTGCTTTATCCAACCCCCATCTGAGCTGGGTCACACTGTCAACCCGTTATTGCCCTTTACTGACTGCCTTAAACATAAATGCATTTAGTAAAACACTGGATCTAAGCTGGCTAACGTTAGGACTGTTTCCATGAAAACAGGAAAGGCTGGGACCTTGCTAATGCGAGCTAATCTATCCCGGGAATGCTGCCTTGGTCGTGGGAGGAGGGTAACGCGAATCCCCGCTTTGAGAAGTGGCAGTTTACGGAGTATTTGTGTGACAACAAATATTAACAGCTTAAAACAATAAAACTCCACACTGCACTGAGTATTTTACTTGTTATTAATCATTCGGCTTTCATTAGGTCACCCAAACTGTAGTTGTTTTAACACAAAATACCAAATCTGAGAAGCAGTTCAAGCTGCTCTGTCAAGACTTAGTGCGAGGAGCGCAACGCAAATCGCCGTTTTAAAAGGTGTCAATTAAAGTAATATTTGTGTGACAGCAAATAATAACGGCTTAAAACAATAAACCTCTACTTTTTGCGGACTGTTTTACGTGTTATTAATCATTCGGCTTACATTGTGTCCCCCAAAGTGCATTTGTTTAAATAAAAAATATCAAATTTATGTCACAGTTTTCGCATTTTGCAGCAGACTTCGCGCGATTAATAGAGGACAACTGTTTAAAGTACAGTGATTTATGTACTATAACTTTATTTCAGTGCCTTGTTATTTGCTACAGATGACGAATTTCAGTATAATACGGAAGGTTTGCGGACAAATACCAAAACTGTGTATAGTAATTGGGCAAAAACACACTTGCCGACAGACACACTAGTGAAGTTGATTTCTTACCGAGATTTTGAACGCAGTTTGGCATAAAATTTCCTCGACGCGGAAAGGGCATTCACAGGTCGCTGAATGAACTAGCAATAAACCTTTGAAACATATGTCCTTGTCTAGCAATAAACATCTTCTTTTATACGACGTTACTATCAATCATTGAGTAAAAACACCGGAACTAGGCTAGGACCTTGCTAATGTGAGCTAACCTAGCGTCGGGACGCTGTCTTGTTCGTGGGACGAGGGCAACGCGAATCGCCGCCTTACAAAAAAGCAATTTAAGAGATTCTTGATGTGACAGCAAAGATTAAAGGCGTAAACATTAAAACGCCACAATTACCGAAATCTTGTATTTGTTGTCCTTCGTTCGGCTTACACCATTTTCCCCAAACTGTGTTGTTTTAGTAAAAATGACCACATCCGAGAAGCAGTTTTTTCTTTGGTTTGCATGCAGGCGAAACGCCGCTTTAAAAAGTGGGAATTAAACTGTTCTTTGTGTAGACGGCAGAGAATATAGAATATAACATTAATTCATCACACTTTACTAAGTCTTATTATTGTTATCCTTCATTCGGCTTACAGTACGTCCCTCAAACTCGAATCATTCCGATGAAAAGTAGTGCATTTGTGTCACAGTTTTAGCATTTTGCACCAGATTTGCACTGCGCGTTTAAGAGACGACAGCTGTGTAAAGTACAGCAGTTTACTACAACTTTAATTTAGTGCATTATTGTATAACTAATGATGACGAATTAAAGTGTCATACATAACGTTTAAGAACAAAATAACTATTTAAATGCACAATATGAGGAAGACGCACTTCGGACATAGACAGATTTTTTTGTCGAGATTTTATACAAAGTTTGGTGTAAAATTCGTCCGGAAACAGCATTAATTGAGGGCTACAGGTCGCTGATTCAACCAACAATTAACCTTCACTAAACAGTTCCACTATTAAATAGCATAGTTTTTTTTTCCTCCCGGTCCAATCTAAATTCACTGGGACAAATAGTGGAGTCAGGCTAGGACCGTGCTAATGTGAGCTAACCTACCCCCAGTTTGCTGCCTTGTTAGTGGGAGGAGGGCAACGCGAATAGCCGCTTTAAAAACAGCTATTTCAAAAAAACTCTTTATGTGTCAGCAATTAATAAAAACTTAAAAAACAAAGCTCAACAATTTCTAAAGTCTTGCATTTGTTATCGTTCTTTCGGTTTACATTATGCTACTAAATGTATGTGTATAAATATTCAAATTTGAGTGAGAGTTTTGGCAGTTTGTGAGACGTTGTCCTTTTAATGGATAACAGCAATGTATGCATTAAAAGTGTATTTTAATCCAATGTGGTAGGTCTATAGACGACGAATTGAAGTATAGTACATAAACTTCGAGGAACAACCCCAAGTCCTGAATGTTATGGGGGTAAAAACATCTAGCAACAGATTCCTATTTTGTTTGCTTAGATTTTGAACGTAGTTTGGTTTACAGCCAAACCGAACGTTAGCAGGTCGGTGATACAACTGATTTTGCCTGCTATGGTTGCACTAAACTGTCATGAACGAACATTAAACTGTTAACTGTGGATATTTTTTGACCCACCACTGTGGCAACACTATCCCACTTTCCCCTTGTGCGACCCGTTCTATGTTTAAATGGTTGAACTGCCAAACTTTCTACGAATATTGTTGCTTTTAGCTAAAATTCAATTTAATAAGTTATGCCAAGGATTTGTAGTGTTTATGAGGATATGGGAATAAAGACATAAATGCGTTCCTCAATTCGGCTTACATTAAATCGAGATAATTTCGTTTTTCCCCCTAACCGTTAAAAGTATCGTTTAGTCCAGTGGTAACAAGTTAAAACTGCCAAACCACTGACCGGTGCATAAACGGAGTGAAACTGCAAATTACATCAAAAACGAAAGACTTTAAGAGGTGGATAATGTAGCCGGAGAAGCAGAGAAGACATACAAATGTCTAAAAAGTATTAATCTGTGTTTGTTGATGTGTGTATCGCCACCGATAAGCAAGAAAACGTTAAAATTTCCAGATTTGTAGATCCAGTCTGGAGCGACGGGCTCCGGGCCTGACGCTGGCCTGCCTCCCCAGACGTCAGGAAACTTCTCGGAGAAACTTTGAAGCAGCCTCCCGTTAAAAACTTACTTCGGTTATCTGGAAGGTTCTGTGTTCGGTAGGTGGCTCATGGTTCCGGCCCCCTGCGTTAACACGCTGGTTGAGTCCCGGTGCAGCCCGCTGGATCTGGATCACGGCTCCGGTCGGAATGTCTCCCTGCCGACCACACCTGCCTGACCCGCTCTCATCATCTGATGCCGCGTTCAAGTCATGTGGGAGAAACCGCCACCGAGCAGCCGCTGTGTCAACAAGGAGGCCTGCATCAGTTTTTTTTGGGTTTTTTTCCTTCTTTCTTTTCTTTTTTTCTTTCTTCCAGATTTAGTCCTAATGCACCTCAAGAGGGAATGTAATTATTCAAATGAGAAAATATCACATTATTTTACCCGTTTTATTAATGGTAATGAATTTCTGACTACACGTGCTTTCAACTCTTACAAAGATGACATGATTACAGACCAGAGCCTCTGTTTGAAATGGAGTGGACTTTTCTTAATGAAAAATCAATCAACTGAGCACAAATAAACACAAAATCACTAGAAAGAGCTACAAAGCCACCACAAAGGGAGACACAATAACAGCAAAGTGGGACACAATAACCATAATGACTTGAAGATAAATAAATAAAGCAGAGACATTTATAGCTAAACTACATCAAAGAGACACAAAACAGCTAAAGACAAAAAAGGTCACGAAGACATGCCAAATGACTGCAAAGGGGATGCAAAACAGCGACTGGAAGACTTTAAATGATTACAAAGAGACACAAAGTAACCAGAGACACTTAAAGTCTGACAAAAAATGACCACAAAGGCACACAAAATTACAACAAAGAGACACAAAATGAGCAAAAGGGAAACTAAGAGACACTCAAAACACAGCCATAGTGTTAATTTTCACTTTCTGCTGTTTGAATTTGTCTTTTTCAAAAAATCATTGATAAAACAGTTTATTGTAAATGTCGTCAGTAATGACAAATAAATTAATAAAAGACATGACTTTTAGTCGACAGTTTCGTCTTTAACGAAAACATCTGGATGTTCACAAACATGTGAGATTTGTGTAAATGAATCAACGCCCAGCCGATGTCTTCATTCCAGTTTCATTATTGCAACAGCAGCTGAGTTGTATCCGGTCAGTTAATGCTGAGTAAGATTTCCGTCCATAGATAGTGTCAGCCTCGCTAAAGGTTGGTAGAGTTCTTTAGAAATAGCATCTTTGGAGATGAAGCTCAAAGAAAGAATATGAATGTACAAACTGTCAGTTCATCAGTGACATACCATCCAGTATCTTGACACATTGTCTACATCTAAATTTATTTCTGGTCACATTAAGGCGTTAAAGGTTGATGAAGGTGAACTTTTTCACCCACAAATTCATTTGAAGTTTTTCATGCTTTAAGGCAGAACTGCATCTGTGATCAGTTTTGTTGCATTTAGTCTGTAATTTGGATGCAAGTTGTTTATTTTTTATTACATCAACACATTTATAGTTGTTGTTTGGGGGATCAGTTCACTGTTGATGTGGGTTTTTTCACGTTTCTATATCATCCACTGTTTTAGCTGAACATTATCATTCATTTGGCAGACTTCAGTTTAATATTCAGATCAGATTAGACAGAACTTTATTGATCCCTTTGGTAGGGATCAATAAAGTTCTATCCAATCTAATCAGCCTCGTTTAGCTCCACAAAGTAACAAAAACTGACAACAAAGACATAAAATGAACACACAAACACACAAAATGACTACAAAGACACAAAAATAATCACGAAAGCACACAAAACACACAAAATGACCACAAAAAGACATAAAGTGAGAACAAGAACACATAAAATAACCACAGAGCGGCCAAAATGGCCACAAAGACGCAAAACAAACATCAAGACACACAAAAGGACAAATAACAGACACAAAATGACCACAAAAGACACCCTCACCTTACCCAAATTATACAAAACAGGGAATAGTGTTTCCTCAGGATCATTCATAATTTATAACATGACTTCATGCAGTCAGACCGAACTGAAAATTCTCTTGATCAGTTTTGGTGCATTGAGTCTTTAATTTGGACATCTGTTTTGGACATACACGTTTATAGATGTTGTTTGTGGGATTAATTCACTGTTAATTTGGGTTTTTAATATTTTTTATATCATCCACTTTTGCAGCTTGGCAGATTTAGGTCCAGTATTCATCCTTGTTTTGATGTTTTTGGTCTCCACCATCACCTGTGCAAAATATTGAGTTTTTTTTTTGCAGCTCAATACTAAAATATGCTCTTTAGATTGTCTCTAACAGAGTTGGTTATATTTTAGAGCCTTTTATCTGAAAATAGCAGCCAAACCTCAGTCTAACAGCTAAACACTGAGACATAACTCCATTTAACCACCGTAAAGCCAATTCTCTGCACTATCAGAGACACTTGGATTTAATTTCTTATACAATATCAGTTCTAGCCGCTTTATGTTTGATGTACTGCAGCACAGCAACAAAATTGAAAAAACCCACACAAATAAAATGTACAATTGCCTTTTATTATTATTAATCATTTTCAACAAAGAAATTAACCACATGTTTCCGTTCACATTAAATGGAAATCGCGGATCTGTTACGTGATAATAACCAAAATACAGACAGCTCATATCTACAGGTAGAACTCAACAAACAGTACAAGTACAGAGGGACAGTGTTACTTAACTGTGAATGCTTCTTATTCAGCTCATAAAAAGAAATGGAAGAGTCAGCCCTGACATCCACAGATCTACTGGCCGCTGGCTCTGAATCCATGTTGTCCTCCAGTTCAAACAACACAGAAGAAGAAGAAGTAGTGTGGCGTCGCCGAGCTGTCGGATCATTTCCTTCGTCGGCTGCCTGATGAGCGACTCGGCGACTGTCTGCTGCCGCTTCTACACGACAGAAAAGACAAAGAAGGCAGAATTTATCAAAGCTCACCAGCATCGTCATTTTTACATTGGTGCTGAACAGTGGCACGTACAAATCAAGATTTATTTATATTTCCACATCCAATGAGAGACCTATACGTAATCAGTTAATAAAGGGATGTTCTAATGGTCGGACATGACACTCGTTCAGCGTCTACAGACCTGCGACTCGGCGAAGACGCTGCTGCCCTCATGTGTCTGGGAGGAGAATAACTGAGTGAGCGAGAATCTCTCAGGGAATCAGCCGGAACCCGACGAGGCCGAACAGGGCTGTAAGGAAAACATACAAGTCTTAAAACTACAGCACCGCAGTGAGAAGATACATGGCTGCAGTGTAACTAATGATTAATGAATGGATAAAAATATCAGTTCATCAATGCATTGCAATACATTTTTTCACAATTCAATATCGATTCAGAGGCTTTTCTGAATCGATTCAACCCCCTAACCCGTCCTGTCCTTTCTGTGCAAACTGCCGGCAAGCTCTGCCCGCACACAGAAGACAACGGAGTCTGTGGCTGTCTTCATATGCAAAGACCTATGACTGTACAGTGTCGTGAAAAACACAGGTTTTAAGAAGATGCTACACACACTCGAACCCCGATACGCCACAGCAACACGCAAACATGACTGAAATCACCGTCCCGAAGGTGTACGGAGAGGTAAAGACAGTGGCTTTGGAGTCGTTGAAGTTGGCAGAGAGAGTGGCTCTTACATGTGTGTCATATTTTTGACTTTTGCACTCCATATTCAGCACCCATATTATTGTGCTAATTCATGTTTTATTGGTAAAAACATGTTATAAGTTATACCATGGCTGGTTATTTTGAAATTATAAACATGTGCTCTAATGAATTATTTGTGCATTTTGACTCGATATCAAAGTGTTTCAACCAATATTGAATCGAATCGATATCACATTGTTACCCAAAGAATCGAACTTGAATCGAATTGTGAGGTTCTCTACAATACCCAGCCCTAATATATAAGCTGGTACTCAAATGAGAGTTGAGAGTGTATCAAAAACTATGATGATTCGATTATTACTCAAAGCTTTTATCACCGTCACGGGAAGCATCCTCAAAAAACAGCTGAGTAAATAAATAGCTAAAATTTGAATGTAGACTAAAAGCAATTAAAAGTCAGCTTAAAGCATCCGTTAGCGAAAAGTCAGAACTAGTGAGCTAAAAGCAATAAATTGTTGGCTAAAATTCTGTTTTAGGATAAATGTGCTGAAGCTCAGAGTCTAAAGAACATCTTTTTATCGCTCCTCTTTTTCTCACCTCTTTTTCGTTGTTTCCTTTTCATTGTCAGATGAGGAGGACGAGGAGTGAGAGCTCTGAGTTTTGTCTGTTTTCCTGTTGAAAAGAAACAGTAATAAATATTAATTAGAACGGAGTTAAGCAGCAACTCACCTAAAGCTACTTTATCAGGTCACTCCATTTCAAATCATCACGTATTAAACTATTTCTGGTCCGATTTGTCTAAAAATGTTATAGTCTCAAAAGATATTAGAGAAACGATAGATTGATATGTCGAGACATTTCAGAGCAAACTGCCCATTGACTCACTTTTCGCAGGTTTTTTTAAAATAAGTATTTCATATATCAAGCAAAGATTTAAGTTGTGTTAAGTATTCCTAGTTCACGATTTAGTCTTAAGTAAATCACAGATGTTTGAGCAGAATGGATTAACACTGAAAGCACTGATCTATAAAACAGCAGCTGTTATATTGTGTCTCCTGCTCACCCTTTTTCCTGCTCTGCCTCAGAGTCAGAGCTGTCTGAAGAGGAGGATGAAGACGAGGAAGAGGAGGATGATGAGGACGATGAGGAGGAGCTGGAGCTGCTGCTGCCTTTCTTGTCTCCTCCCTCCTTCCCGTTCATGGCGCTCTTATTTCTGGCCGTTTGCTCTGGCGGTGGAGCCGGTTGGACTAGCGGCGACGGCTGCTTCCTGCTCGCACCTCTCGGCGGCTGTTTGGCGTCTGATTGGCTGCCGGCTGGAGACCTTCGGGACGGCGAGCTCCTCCGGCCTGAGGGCGGAGCGTGGGAGGAGTCTCTGGAGGAGCGACTCTTCGGCTCCCTGTCCTCCCTCTTCTCCTGACTCTCAGGTACTGCTTTGGTGTCTTTTCTCTCTCGCGGCGGTGAAGGTGAGGACGAGGAGGAAGAGGAGGAGCTGGAGGAGGATGAGGAAGAGGAGGACCTGCGAGGTGGAGGAACATCTTTCGGCTGCAGACGTTCCTTTTCTCTCTCTCTTTGCTGTTCTACCTCCCTCTGTCTGGTTCTCTCACGTTCTCGCTCACGTTCACGCTCACGTTCACGTTCTCGCTCACGTTCACGTTCACGCTCACGTTCTCGTTCTCTGTTCACGGTCCAGTTGACGCTCTCGTTCACGCTCTCGCTCTCGCTCCCGTTCACGCTCTCGTTCACGCTCTCGCTCTCGTTCTCGTTCTCTGGACAGGGATCGACTGGTTCTCCTTCGTCGCTGAGGAGAAGGAGATCGACGAGGTCTGGAGGAGGAAAATATAAAGAACAGGTGAGTTTCAGAGCAGCCAGGAACGTCAGAGGGCATGATGAGGATGATTTAACACACAAAAATGTTGCTTGCACACAGTCAATGTGAGTGGGATGTAACTCAAATGCAAAAGAATTAACAATATGGGACCAAAAAAAACTCAAATAGTTACATGTGACACAAAATGATCAAAATGGAACAAAAACCAACCACAAACAGACACAAACTTAACAATATGAGACACAAAGAGACACAAAGACCAAAAGGGGACAAAACAACTACAAAAAGACAAAGTGCCAACAAATGAAATGAATGAAATCAGACACAAAACGTCACAACTGTACCACTAAATAACCAAAATGGAACCAGAACCATTAAAAAATACAGACTGAGCATAAAGAGAAACAAAATTAAAATATGTGGACACAAAAGAGATGTAAATTGTCAACACATTAATTTAATGCATATTGAACTTTCGGGAATCAACTCCAAACTAACTGATGTCAAAGAAATTGTCTGTGGTTCTGCATTTTGTTCAGAACGTGGAGTGTAAACTTTGCAAACAGCAAAAAAAAAAACACTAAGCAATCAGATCATCGCGTCAGTCGATCATAATCAAGTTCAAATTATTTAATATGCTGCAAATATAAACTTTTTACGTTGATTTAGACTCCATTTATATTAATAAGGCTTGCAGGAAGCTCTTAGCCTAAAGATAACAACCACATTAGTTTTCTCCCCGGGACCAATCGATTGGTTGAAACATCAGATGTGCAATTTCTAAAAGCTGGACCACTTTCAATGTAAATACTGCAGCCAATCATATTAATAGAATTGTACGAACCCAAAATCATGCTTGTGATTAGTATTGATTTAATTTTGCAGCCCTTCCTTCCTTCAAATCCACGCTTTCTGCATCTGTATGCGCACGTGTTGATACAATTTGGCCGGTAACACACAGAAAAACCTCAGAAAAAGTGTGTTTGCAGTGTCCCTGCTCAGATATGAACGTTTATGAAGAAAGTTCTTGTCTTACCGGCTGGGGGGGCTGCGCCTCCTGGGACTTCTGGATCTTGATCTGCTTCTCCTCCTTGGACTCCTGGTTCTGCTCCTCCTAAATACCCTGTCCCTCTCTCTGTCCCTGTCTCTGTCTCTCTGTCTGTCTCTGTCCCGGTCTGTCCAGGCTGGAGGAGGGGAAGCTCTTCGGGACCTGGACGGTGGTTCCTGGTACTGCCTCGGTGGAGTGCGACGGGCTGGGGATGCGTTGGAGGTCCTCTGGGGAGGAGAGCGTGACCTCCTGGCCAAGGGGCTGGACCTGGTGGGCCTCCTGGATCCGTCCCTGTCCCTTCCCCCAGCTTTGGCCTCGGACGGGGAGTACCTGTTGCTTCTGGGGGGCGATGGAGGTGGACTGGGGCTGTCGGCCTGGGTGGGGCTGTAGCGTTCCTGGCCTTTGGGTCGGTTCTCAAGTTTGTCTGCTTCCCTCTGCAACCGTCTGGGAGCGTCACTTTCAGAAGCCACACCTTCCTTCTTACCGTTTGCTAAATACCTCTGAAACGCAGCGCCGACGGCAGACTGACTACTTTTCTCAGGACTGCTCGCAGATCCAGTTTTCTTGGCTTCCCCTTCGTCTTCAGAGGAGGACGAGGAGGATGACGAAGAGGAGGAAGACGAGGAGCTGTCGCTGTCGCTGCCACTGCTGCTGCTACCACTGCTGCTGCTACTGCTACTGCTGCTGCTGCTCTCTCGTTTTTTCTCGGCCTGTTTCGTCAGCTTTTCCTCGGGTTTCTCCTTCTCCTGCCTTTCGTTTACCTCTGGTCTTTCGCTCCTGACCTTCTCTGCTGGTCTGGATCCTTCTCTCCTGCTGTCTGTAGAAGACCTGACCACCTCCTCTCGTCTTCTGCCTCCTTCTCTGTCCTGTTCTCTCTGCTTAGCGACCTCCACGTTGGCTTCTCGTCTCCTTTCGCCCTCCCGTTCTCTTTGGCGTCCATTGGCGACGGGCGATGGCGACGGGTTTCCGTCCCGCCTGCTGACGTTTTTGTGCTGGCGAGGAGACGCCTCCCTCTCCGGCCTCCTCCTATTGTCACTCCTCAAAGGCGGATCTCGCTCAGTCCGGCGCTCCCTCTCGCCGCTCCTCTCCCTCCTCAACCTTTCCTTCTCAGGCGGTGGTGGTGGCGGCGGCGAAGGAGATGAGGAGTCGTGTCTCGTCTTTTTGTTCCTGTCGGCATCTCTGCTCCTTTCTCTCCGACTCTCCTGCCTTGGAGGAGGTGGAGGAGAAGGAGGAGGAGGAGAAGGAGATGAAGAGGAGTCATGTCTGGTTCGCTGAGGAACGCTCTCCTTTCCTTTGTCCCTCTTTTCTCTGCTCCTAGAACGCCTCACTTTCTCCACATCTCTGCTTCTGGAGCGCCTCCCTCTCTCCCTGTCTTTTTCTTTGCTCCTTGAACGCCTCGCTCTTTCCCTCTCATATTCTACACTCCTTGAACGCCTCCTTTTTTCCATGTCTACACTCCTTGATCGCCTCCTTTTGGCCATCTCTGGGCTCTTTGAACGCCTTCGTTTCTCAATGTCCACACTTCTTGAACGCCTTCTTTTTTCCATCTCAGCACTCCTTGAACGCCTCCTTTTCTCTACATCTA